TATCAGACAATTCAGTTCAAATACTTGCCTTGGGTTAGTGTTTGAGCAGAATTAATGAGACAGAATGGCAAAACAACCAGAGATGAATGTGGAGCTCAAAGAAGCGGGTGAGGATTAGGAGAACGGATGACACAAAGGGATCCCTGCAAAGCATTACCTGTTTAAAACAGGGTGGACAAGTTTCCCACAATTCAGGCTAGAAAACAGAAAAAAAAGGAAAGAAGATGAACTGAAAGCATAATCATTTTGAGTTTGAAACAACTCAGAAGCTAAATAAAGTTCACCAGGAACTCATTGAATGGAAAATCCAGTTAAAACCAGATTCGGATGACGGACTGGTTTTGCTGTAGGTGGTCGTTAAGCTGGTAAAACAGATGATCACCTTCAGCTGATATGACTTGGATTTTCCTAATAAAAGGAGAAATCATATAAATAGGAAGGAGTGAAGGTTGTGGAATAAATTATAATGGAGCAGAAACGCTAGCCTCAAGATACCGGACTCTCCCTAATGACACTAATTATGTCCTGTTTAATTACACGGACACTGACGTATAGCTTTGGCACTGAAGTTTCCTCCTAAAACCCACGTCACGTGACGGGCCAGACTCGTCTCAGCTGGACTTCTGGCTGTTCACAAGTTGCTGACGGCGTCTCGATCTGTCAGACATCAACCTTCAGATAAACTAGCCGTGTAAAACTGCAGGAGAACACGCTAATGCATGCAGCATCGTTTCTAATACTGACTTACTCTCAAAAATACAACAATGCATTATAAAAATGCTAAATAATTATTATTTATTTTTTTTTTTAAATAAAACAGTATATTAAAAAGTAAATCATTTCATTTCAAAATGTATTGCGTGAAAGTGATTTATTTATTTATTTTTTATTTTATTTACAATGACGTTTTTATTGCGTGTTATTTCCAACCAACGTGTAATAATTGTTTGACTCATGCAAAAAGTGTTTATATTATTCAATACTTTGTTTATTTCAGAAAAAAAGTCATTTTATACAAATAGTGTGTCAAAATCACATAATGCTATTAAACATACTACATAATTTGACATGTCATGGATCTTTTTATTTTTAGTTTTTTAAGAAAACGAACGACAATATGCATCCTGTGATAAACACTGGTGGACTAATATTAAATATTCAAAAAAGTATTTTGTAATAAAGTACTGATCAAACAATTTTGATTAAAAATCATTGTACCAAATAAATCTTAAAATCTATCATTTATATTTTATAATTTGGGCATTTTAGGGAAAAAAATATATATATATATATATATATACTGTATATATATGACAAAGTAGGCATAAATGTAGTTGAAGAAACACAGATATGACTCCATGGTTAATTGTTTCAGTAATGGAGGGCGTCTGAAGCTTTAGTCAGGGAGTGCTATTATGGCACACACCAGCCTCATATATCAACGGAGCGGCACAAAAATGAGGAAATATGAGGAGGGTGAAGAAATGACTGCGAATTAATGAGATTCCAGCGTGATGATGAGAAACGAGGACACTTCAGGCCGAACGCCGCAGTCGTATAGTCGCGTGTAGTAGAAGTGACCGCGTCTTGTTCGCGTACCGAGGGTTGTGTGACCAACTGACCAACAGAAGGTGAAACAGATCATGGCTGTGTGTGATTCTGGTTTAGGGCGAGAGGAAACCAGCAGAATAGAGTCGTGGGCTTCCATAACCCTGTTATCATCAAGGCAAAATTTATATTCAATTCAATATCCATCTTTATTTAATTGCCATTATTGTCCATAAAGACTAAAATGAGAGTTTTGGATGGATGGATGGATGGATGGATGCATAGATAGATTAGATATAGATATAGATATAGATATAGATAGATAGATAGATAGATAGATAGATAGATAGATAGATAGATAGATAGATAGATAGATAGATAGATAGATAGATAGATAGATAGATAGATAGATAGATAGATAGATAGATTGAATTGAAACGCTCATTAGCATACCTAAAACAACTGATTTTTTACACTTTTCTGATTTTTATTGCAAAAACGCCAACAATTTTCTCTCAAAATCTTGTTGCAAGCAACAAACCAATCAACAAAACCACACATCTTGATCTCTACGATATTTTGCAGTAACCGCAAAGCAAGAGCAAGGTCTCGGAGTGAAGACTTGAGTGAACATCCGCTCTGAGATTTCACAAACGCACCTTAAAGTGCGACTTTATCGCGTTGTCGAAAACCGCTCTGGGTGTAAATCTCATTAGCATGGACTAAAAAAGCAAGATGGAGGTGATAATTGAAACAGGTAGAAAACGGATCCTGCAATCAGCAGCGAAGCAAAAGCAGGCACTACTTCTCTCATTAGTTTGCAGTGCTATGTTCACTCTACTCTGAAAAACACTAAAAACAGGACCGATACTGCTTACTAAAGGATTAATTCACACCAAAATGAAAGTGCTATCATCATTTACTCAACCATCATGCTGTTTCAAACCTGTATGATGTTCTTTCCACCATAGAAAACAGAAGATGTTTAGCGTTCATGCTTCTCCTTCAAACACTTAAAATTCGTAACACTTTACAATAAGGTTTTGATGTATTGACTAACATGAATTACATTGAGAAAAACATTTGTTACAGTATTTATTCATCTTTCTTAATGTTATTTAATGAAAAATACACTCGTTCATTGTTTGTTCACAGTGCATTAGCTAATGTTAATAAATTCAATTTTTGATGTTAATAATGCATTAGTAAATAACATCAAGAAAGATGAATAAATGCTGTAGAAGTATTGTTCATTTTTAGTTCATGCTTACTATAGTAGTTAACTAATTATTGTAAAGTGTTACCCTGAAAATAAATGGATAAAACACAATAAAAGTAGAGTGCATGACTTTTTAGGACCATTTACATAGTTTTTTTATTACTATTATTATGATATTCATTGTAATGTTATTTATTTTATTTTGAAATATTTTTTATTATTTTATAATTATTTTATTTAATTAAAAAATTAAATTTTATTTTTAAAATTTAAAATTTAATTTAATTTTATTAAGCATTTATTTTATTTTGAACTTGTATTTGTATTAGTTTCTTCAATATTAATTTTATTGTTTAATTTAATTATATCAATATTAATTAACATTACATACTTCATTTTTAAATATGAATGTAGTCTTCAATATTTTATTTAGCTTTAACTTATTATGCAGATTTTCACTTGTTCTTTTTTTACATTTATTTTTCATCTAATAATGAATGCATTTAATTTGTCAAAAAATGTCAGCATTATTTCAATTGACAAAAATCATTTTTAATAGTTTTAGATGAAGTTTTAGTACACCGCCGCCTGTAATACAGTGCATACGGACTACTTTCATTGTGCTTTTGTCATTTCTTCTAATCTTTTGAGGTTGTGGATGTCTGTTGTGCGAAAAAGGAGCAGAAACACCTGCTTTTGTGTCCACAGACCAAAGAAAGTCAAACAAGTGTGAAACAACACGAGAGTGAACATTGTGCCGCACGTCTTAATCAGATTTGCATCACAAACGCTTCTTTCCACGGCAGATTCAGTCTCTGCCATCATCTCTTCAGAGCGAGAGGATTTGAAGTTTATCGACGGCAGCGTTTAGTTGGTATCTGCGAATGGAGATTAAACTCGTCGTCTGTGGCGTATGCTGGATAAACGGCGGCGGAGGGAAGTTGTTGACTTTGCTAGAGGACGCAGGAGAGAGAAGGAAAGAGAAAGAGAGCAAGATAAAGACTAGAGATGTGTTTGACAGCGCTAAGGCTCTCGGCTCGTTCGGCTGAACACAATTATCAGGAGAGCAGCTCGCGTTGGACAGGAGAGGTGAGCTGTGAAGAAGAAGAGGAGGAGGAGGAAGAGAGCAACACTCCCACTGCATTTCCCTCAGACTAAAGCCATGACTTCACTACCTGTCGTCTCCTAAACAACATCATTTTCTCAGCTCTTCATTAATTGCTGGCCTGTTAATTGGTAGTGGCTTTGTGTGAAAATGTGTGGGTGTGTTGATTATTTAGTGGCTCGTTCTTTTAAACCACACACAAAAAGTAACACTGATATCCATTAGCAGACGACCTGAGAAAAGCAATGCTTTTGGGTGAATCTCAAAAAAAAAAAAAAACGTAAAGGTTTTACCACAAATACTTTTGCACACACACACAATTTATTCTGGGCATATCTGTATGTGATTCAATCAACATGTACGCATCAGCAGACTAATGGAATATACATTGGTTAGAAATAAAACACACTTGGTTCGAAACAAAAACTCTCCTGTTCGAACTCGTTCATCAAAATGAACGAATCTTTTTTCGAGTCAGTTCGTTCTTTGAATGATGCAAATGAGTACAAAAAAGATTTGTTTATTTTGATGAACAGGAGAGTCACGAACGTGGATCACAGAATAGAGCAAGGCGAGCATTTGAGCTTATAAAACTTAAACTGTTATTTATTTATTAAATGAGCGATCGTTTCGCTAGATAAAACCCTTATTCATCGTCTGGAATCGTTTAAAGCCCTTTGAAGCTGCACTGAAACTCTCATTTGGACCTTGAACCGTTTGGTTCCCATTGAAGTCCATTATATGGAGAAAAATCCTGGAATGTCTTCATCAAAAACCTTAATTTATTTTCGACTGAAGAAAGAAAGACGTGGACATCTTGGATGACATGGGGGTGAGTAAATTATCAGCAAAAGTTTTTTTAAAAGTGAACTACTCCTCATCCAGCGAGCTGAACTCTGACGTCATTCGAACCCGGGTGCTAGTGTGAAAGCGCCCTTAAAAAATCCAATTAACCAACATTCAACTAAATGAACGTCCTTCTCCTCTGTGATATAACAGTAGGGGAGTACATTATCCAACATGATGAATGTGATTGTTGTGTGAACTGCAGACAAAGCGCTCTGTTTCTGACTCAATGCTGCAGGAAACTGTGAAGAGCCAGTGGAGGGAGAGAAAGAAGTGACTCACTGTTCGTTGACGACAAAGATGCAGTTGTCTTGCGAGGGAACGCCTGTGACGGGATGCTTGCAGGTCACCTTTCGCTCATTGTGACTGTAGGAGAGAAAAGAAACAGAAATTGTGGGAATTAGAGACATGTAAGACTGATGTTCACACTTTCACACTCGATAAGGAGCCGTTGATAAGTGAAAGTATTGATCTACCAATGTGATTTACATGCTGGCCTGCTGGATAAGATTACCGTCTGAAATTGCTATCAGGGCGGAGAAAATTATGGTATGGTATGGTATGAAAACTGTATTTTTCAATCAGCTTATCTGTATTTATTTATTTTGCAAAGCAACTGGTCGACACATGGAGATTGTTTAAGCAAAGTCAAAATGTATCTTAAAACTGAGGTGTCATGAGAAAATATTGGCTACTACTAGTATTTTTGATTCACACACTTAAGTTTAAAACATGTTTTAAGTTTTAAAACAAGATACAAATATGTAATTAATTAATTAAAAAATAAATAAAATACAAACAAAAGTGGGATAAATGTGTATTATCCTGTGATTTAAAAAAAACAAAATAAAACTAAAATGATATACACGGATATGTAATACATTTGGAAATCAAGTATTTATCGTTAAAAAAATTATTAATACCGTGATATCCAATTTGTCATACTGCCCATCAACAGTAACTATTTACAATATGTAAAAAAATAAAATTATTTAAATAAAATATAAATGATATGATATATATATATATATATATATATATATATATATATATATAGTATAATATGATATTTATATTGTGATCAAAAACAGGAATAAAATATTATAAAAAAATAAATGTGATGCATGATTCGTACAGTAATTAAAAGAAAAATTATAAATATAAATTTTTAAAATATATATTTTATGAAATCTATACATATATATATATATATATATATATATACAGTATATTTATATATATATATATATATATTCTCACAGTATATACAGTATATATAATGTATTATATATATATATATATATATATATATATGAATTGCTGTTGTTTTGCTCAGTTGCAAGTCACTTTGAATACAAGCATCCGCTAAATGAATACATGTAAATAGTTATCATTATAACTATAAACTATAACCCAACTAGATTGAGTAAAATGGTCCACCAGGATAAGCGTCAGCTCCTCCAGCTGATCGTCCACCTCAACCATCTTTGACCAGTAAGAACCCATGTAAAACCAGTCTACCTTTAGAGCTCTTCGTCAAATATGATGTAACCCAGATGAAAACTCACCAGAAGTTCTACCCAAAAATCTCCTCAGCAACATCCTCCTGCATAAACACACACACACACACTCAGAAATCTACACACCTTGAGCGAGGGGTGGTGCAGAATTTCAACATGTCTCTGTCTCCCCTCTCTCTCTCTCTATACTCCTGCTGTTTACCAGCAACCCAAGCATGTAGTCAGTCACCGCTGCTGCTTTCCTCAGTCACACGCCCCGATCACAAGAGCATGAGACACACACCGCCCCGTCTCTCTTCTCCACCCTCTTCCTCTCTGCCATGAGGCGCCGACGTCTCAATAAATACAATTACCAGCGCAGTCACACGCAGACAGAGGAGGCCGTTCACACAAGAGAAAGGCCGTTTAGCAGTGACAAACACACACAACGGGCTCTTCTCTCACATGGAGAAGTCACATGTGGACAGACTGAGGCATGCTGGTAATAACAAATCAAGGTTGAGGAGAACTTCACAAAACATTCACACAGAAGTTCACAAAACACTGCATAAAGCATTTCCAAACAAATTTAGCATAACGGATAAGTGCAAAACCCAAGTAGTCGGACATGAGACGGGATTTTCTAACGAAACAACACGAGTTTGGAGCCATTTCGCCATCCAGGAGCTATGAAGCCGCCTCTCAGCACTAAATTTAGTTATTTTTTACTGCTTATTGCGCTTATAAAGTGCCAAATACACAAAAAAATTATGTCAAAATGCTCGGCATTGTGAGTATCCATGCAAACACACGCAGTTATGTTTAAGAAAACTTGTGTAACTGTATAATGGATCTGTGCGTCATGTCTTAAAGTGACAGTAGCTTAATATACCGACTGCCAAATTAAGAGATAATATATAAAAAAATATTAATATGGGAGTTTTCCCCCACGTGGGCAATGAAAATGCTTGTAATTTTGGAAAACCACTAGACACAGTGGTTGGTGAGCATAAAAAGCTAATGTCAAGCCCTTTTATTATAAATATATGAAGAGTTCAGATTCAAAAGCCTCTAAATGCCATTTGAAATTTTCTTCTTTAATGATGATTTTTATCAAACTTGTATATTTAAGTTCAAGTTTGATAAAAATCATCATTAAAGAAGAAAATTTCAAATGGCATTTAGAGGCTTTTGCATCTGAACTCTTCATATATACATATAATATAATATTTTATTGTATTGTTTTAAATTGTAAAGCCTATTTTTTCATTAAAATATGTATACATCATGGTGATATTTGTTACACTGCCTTCATGCTAATGAAAATTTAAATTAAAAAAATAATATGTACATTAAATTTTAGTAGTATACATCTTTTTTGCATTACGGTAATGACAATTTTGGACGAAAATCTGCTTAAAATCATTTCTCAATGCAGAAATATATATAATCAAAAATAATCATGGTTGATGCCCACACATGCCCACTGAGCAATTGGATGCATGATGGATTGAAAAGCGGTTGTTAAAGTGATTATCATCTTTCCAGAGTGAGTGTTGCCTTGGCAACAATAAATGAACCAGTACACAGCACAGAACAGTCCCGAACGGATTCAGCAACCAAAGTTTGAAGTCGATTGAGTCAATCATTTCGCTCTCAGTGGGTTTCAATTGAATAGATTTCGAGATAACAAGCGTAAAACGACACAGAAGACCTAAGGATCTAGTCCAAGGTGAACGAGGGACAATCAATATGTTACTGTTACTTAGACTTTAGGACAAACGCAAGAGTTAAAAGCTTTAAAAAGGCGATTAGATTAAGATGATAATCATAATCCTGCTTCCGATCGGCTACTGGTAAAGGAAACAGCCCTAGTTAACACTCCTCACTGTATCAGGAGAGTACATGTGACACGACACCATACATTATGTCACGTTCAGGCCGCCGCGGGGACGTCTTCATGCATACATGCATGGCCGACAGCAGACAAAAATAGCTTGGCGTTCTTCAGAGACTCTCTCTCCGCCACTCAGAGGTGCGTTTGGGCGAGGAAGTCACACTTCACTTGGTTCTGTCACATGTGCAGATCAACCAGGGCTGGTCTACTCCTCTGCGAGGCCTAAAGGGACAGCAGGTGTGCTGGAGAACACACACACACACACACGTCCAGCTGTGGACGAGGTGTTCGTCCGCCTCTCCGATCTCTGCAAGAACGACATGAACGAGAGAGACGACTATGGATGATTGAGGAGCTGTCAAGAAAACACACATCTTCGTGAATATCCACAACGCTACGGCACTCTGAACAGCTTTTTTAAGGTGTGTTAAACACAGATTGATGACACATAATCTATATGGGTTTATAAACTAAAAGTATATAAAGCTGCCATTTCAGTCAAAGTAATGGAGACAAGTAAAGACATGGTAAAAACACAAGGTATACAGTGTATATATATATATATTATATATATATATTAGAGCCAGATCGATATATCGGCAGACCGATATTATCGGCCGATATTAGGCATTTTCCAAACTATCGGTATCGGCACTTATAATGGCCGATAAATGAATATTTCAAAAATAAAATAAAAATGGACGAACCATGTCATGAGTGTTGGAGTTGTATAGTTTGTCCACCAGAGGGCACTCTACACCGTTCCTGTTGGCAACACTCGTTGAGTTGGTCATTGCTTGAATAACAACTAAAAGATCATCCCCATCAGTTCTCTTAACTCAAATAAGCATGACAACATTTGTGACTATCATGTCCAGTTTAAAAAAAAAAATAAATAAATTATCGGCCGATATATCGGAATATCGGATTTTAAAACCCCAAAATATTTGTATCGTATCGGCTTTCAAAATCCTTTATCGGTCGGGCTCTAATATATATATATATATATATATATATATATATATATGCAAAAAAGAAAATTTCGCATTGTAATTTTGTTCCCCACTGAACAACTCTGTACACTTTTCGTATTCCTGGGTCAGTTTTTGACCCCATGGAAAGTGAGCTTTACAGTACAGCCACAGTTTACTTCACAAAAAGGTGTAACAATTTATTTATATAAAGAAAATGTGTATTTTGATAGTCTTAAGTTGTTTTTTTGTTGTTGTTTTTTTTGTCATACTAAAAACTACGGATTATTTTACAAATTTGATGTACCATCTTTGATGCGATAGGACGGTTAATGCACTAAAACATTTTAAAACTAACTGCAAAAAATGAGTAGAGACATTTTAAGCCTATGATTACTTTCACTTGTAATGTGACATTATTGCTCATTAAAGTTAAGACCAGTTTCGCAACTATAGACAAAATTAATCAAAAGCTATTCGCATTTAGCATTACCACAAGGTGGCGCTGACTCGAAACTGGGCACGGTGCCGATGACGCTTACAAAGTATCATAACATATGTCAATGTGTTCGTAAACTATAGCATTTTGTAAAAAAAAAAATTAAAACGGTGGTCAATATGGGAAAATTAGGTGTAGTTTAATTTTTAATTTTTGGACATACCGTTCAAAAATAGCTATGTCCACTAGGTGGCACTGTGCCAAAACTGTGCAGGTATGCCAAGGCCATGGATGTCATAACAGAGTTTGGTGTGGAGATATAGCCTCAGGTCCATTTCGCTTTGAACAGCATGGACACAAATGAAGTGAAACTAGCCTTGTTCTTCAAAGAGATGAGCACTTAATTTGATTAATGGGGTAAAACTAGTAATATTAGTAATGGAGAACATACAGCGAATGATAGCTCATTTTCTGCTGGGTCATTGTGAAAGCCCGCGGCGCCACAAGGGAAATTGCTGAAAATCACAAGTGCCTGTTTGGGCTTTCACAGAGATACGCTC